TACTACTACTACTAACTACTAATAATAATAATAATAATAATAATAATAATAATAATAGAAGAATAAAATAGAAGAATAAATATGTTATATAATATGTATGCATCAACACATATCATTACTCGATGGACCAGACAGAAGCGCCGCCCACTTAAAAATACATTATAGATGCTTTTGATTGACAGGTGATTCTGGGAAGTGCAGCACACACATTCACTAATGACCAAAAAGCTTAAATATGTCAAGATGAACACTTCAAGAAGTCTTAGCCTTCTCGCTTTGGCTCGTCCACAAGTTCTTCCCCAGATGTTGAATGCTGGATGATGAGTCCCCACACAAACAGCTGTCACCATAGTGACTAATCTGGTACAGACTTAAAACACTGCATTTTTCTTAAGAATTATGACAACAGTTTGAGCTTAAGAAGGATTTTCACCTCAGAAAATATTTCCTGCATTAGTGGCATAAAACTTATTTAATGAAATCCAATAAATATGCAGTTAAATCTGTGACATCTTTAAATCAGACCTCTTATGTCTTTTTATTGCTAGTAAAAGATGTCTAGACCATTTCACAGCATAAAAAAAGCTCCAACACATCCACCTACACATGTATACACACTGACACTCAGCTTTCAAGAAATAAAGATGAAGTATAGCCAGTGCCAGTATAAACACCACTATGAACTGCAATGTGAGACCAAAGTCTGGGTGTGCAGACGTGCATATTTTCACACCTCAAATTCTTGTGTTAAATTTTACCTCTCAACCTTTAACTACCATCTGCTCTGTGGTCAGATTCATCCCCTGAAGACTACAGTAGTAACATTTAGTATTCATGCTTCTCCAGCAAATTCTCTATCCTGTTTTTCCCCACTCGTAATGATTCTAATTGTAAAGCCCCCTGTGTCAGCAGAGCCAGGCTTTTGAGAAAATATTTTTTACAGCAAAAAAAAAAAAAAAATTTTTCCGGAGTAAATGATATCAGCGACTGACGTAAATCACATTTACACACTGCACCTGGTGAGATCAAAGACAGTCTGTGCCAGGCAAGACATCTGCACCAGTATTCCTCTGACGTCCACCTTGCTGAGGTTCCAGCATTTTAAAGAGCTGACCACAACACTGTAGCCCAGAGGTGTAAACACAATCAGTAAGCCAGAGTAGGAAATAGAGCTGCTTTCCACAAGGCAACACAAATAATTACATGTTATTTCAGACCATTTGTAAACTGTCACACAGTGGGAAGTGATGTGCAGAGAGTTTTTACAATTTCAACCTACAAGCTCATGCACAATTGAAGACAACATGATAGCACAAAATTACTAAATTACAATACCACAATAAAAAGCTTTGATGTGGTTTAATATTTACATCTCTGTACATACTGTACCCATAGGATTTGTATGTGAGAGCAGACATGTCGTGGAAGTCCAGCAGTGTCCACAAATCAGACATCCTGGCTGTGTGTCAGTGCTCTGCCCTGGGGGTTGTTGCCACAGCGAGCCATGATGGAGAGGTCATCATCTGGAGGCTGGAGACGCAGGGACCAGTGCTCCACCTGCACGGGCCGACACAGAGAGGGTGAGGATGCTAGCCAGGTTAGGCACTGCTGTTATGATACTGTGCAATATAAACTCATTTTTAGTATAACAAGGATTGTCTCCTCATTTCATCTATCACTTGTAATATCATAAAACCCACTGAACAGATTGGAGGGAACTTTATGTATCTTACTCACAAGTTTTGACATTAAATAAAAAAAATTAAAGCGTAAATCGGTAGTTTCCAATGTTTTTGGTCTGTGACTCCTTACAAAAAAGCAGTGTAGATTTGCAGCCCTCTGTCACTTCCAAGAAGTAAATGATCAAGTATCTCCCATAAAAGAGCAAAGATCAGAGAAAAGGCCAAAAAATATGTTCTGCTATACATTGATAGCAGAACATATTTTTTTCTTCTTTCTTCCCTTCTTTCTTTTTATCATCTCACAACCCTCCAAATTTCTCTGGAGACTCTCCAGAAACTACCTAACTGTGTAAAAAATACATCCACCTCGACCAGATACAGTGAAATGCTTTCAACGGTATTAGCGATATAATAATGCAATATATAATAATCTATCAGTCACAGGGACTGTTTTTCTGACTTACTTAGTTTTGATACTTTATGTAAATTTTGCTGATTTGAACTTTAACTTTAACTTGTAGTTTTACATTTATTTTTACATTTACAATGTGCAATTTTTTGTACTGCATCCTTAGTGTGTGGTATTTATTGTTATTTGCCTGTTTATGTTTTTTAATTCTGCTTGTGTGCAGAGTGGTGCCCCCTGTGGACAGCCTCTTGTTTCTGCAGCACCGAGCTAGCAACAGAAAGCTGAGAAACAGAGGTGTCCTGGTGTCATCGCAGGCCGGCTGTCTCTGCTTTTGGAGCATCACCGGACAGACGCACACTTATGGTGAGTGGGACAGAGAGAGGAAGGATGGAGGCTTATTCAGAAGAACTGCATGCAGAAGTTAAAAGACACAAATTTAAAATAGAACTCACAGTATGAGGGAATTGGAAGCAACAAACTGTACAAGCAGTTGACAAGCAGCCGTCAGTTTTAATGATCCTCCTGTAAGATGGATTTACAAACAGCCAGAGCAGTGACAGTTAGGCTGAACTGTCGACTTGGCCTCCCGCCTGTACCATTCCTGGCAGCCCACAACTATGTCTCTTTCCAGATCCCATCTGTGTTTAGTGGTGTGGGATTCATGCACCATGCCCGCTGCATATGTGTATGAGCATGCATGTGTGTATGAGAAAGCCAGAGTGCACTTTTGTGTGTGTATATACTGTAGGTCTGTATATGCATTTTTCTAGCAAAGAGGAATTTGAGTGTGACATAATAGGGAGATGTATGACATAACAGAAAGCATTAAAGGGTAGCAATTTGTCTCAGAAGTACATTTGTCATTTAAGTCAAGACCATATTGAAATTGGCACAGAATCTGACTGTAAATAGATTTGATTGCATACAACTTAGTGAGTGAAACAGTTCCTGTAGACCCACAGAAGACGAAAATGAAACTCCATCTCTTTTTGTTTGGAAAACTGCATGGGTGCAGTTCAATTCTTTCCTCCTTATTCCAGGCCAATTCTATGCTCCAGAGCAGCCAGGTGAGCGTGTGTTGAGCCTGAGCTCAGACCAGCCTAAAAACACCATCCTGGTCTCTGGAGACACAACAGGCTGGCTTCAGATCTGGGACATCTGTCACTTTGCACTGGACATCCAACACGAGGTGAGAAGACGTGTGTATATGTATATCCAGAGCTGGTGTGAATAAATACTGTACCCATATATACCTGAGGTGTTCTCTTTCTACACAGCCAGTTTGTGAGCGGCCTCCTCTGCTGCAGTGTTGGAAGGCTCATACGAGAGCGTTAGTGAACGTGGAAGTCCTCGAGGTGGGTGACAGATTGTTTGTCCTCACAGCCTCAGCTGACGGATCTGCTGGACTATGGACTGTGGACGGTGATCATGTGGGTTCTTTTGGGCAGGAAGTGATGTGGAATATCACCAGTACGTACCAGAAGGTGACGCTCCGTCCTCTTGTTACACCTAGAGAAAATGGCAAAAATAAGTGGAAACGGTGAAGAACAGTCATAGATGGGAAGTTTAGTGGCAGTTGTGAAGGCAAGTGTATTATAATATACAAAAATTAAAAATCAATAAATCTGCAGAACCGACTAAGGATTTAACAAATAAACTCCCTGTGTCAACTCCTGTAAGTGTGCCCCCACATCTCCCCAATTATTGTGCACTCGGGGCCCATAAATGTAAAAATGACTAGCACACATGCTGCCCTGTAACAGGCCATATTGGAACCCTAAACACGCCCAAATTTTGCAAGATGACGTGTGTAAACAGCCCCTTTTTGTGATCTACATCCATTGTTGGTGCCAACACATAGTAGGAGTCTACGGGACCGTGTCCAAGCACAAATATTAGACGATGTCCAACAGTGGGCCCTGGAAATGTTTTATTGCCCAATTCTATATAGAACATGTTCTGTACAGTCATGGGTGAGAGCTCCCTCCCCAAGAAGAAACTTCCCGTCGTTTTCCACCGACGGTTTGAAGGTCCTTTAATAGAACCTATCCAGTTGGCTTAAAGGTCATAAACTCTGCTTGGCACCAGGCCCCTTGCTGCGTTTGAGCTGTATTTCTGCTCAACTATGTTGGGTAAAAGGAAAAGAACACTGCCTAATTTAAGGAAGTGATCGAAGTACAGAGCGCCATTGCTTAGATACATTAATACGTCTGCACACAGGTAATTATTGTAATCATATATATTATAATTCTTTTGGCGTGATTTCATATCTTTGTTCAATGACATGCTGCAGATGGCTGCTTGTGGTCTCTTAATTAAGACGTACCGCATGGAGGATTGTATTGAAACTTAAATGATTGGTTATAGTGATTTAGTGCATATGTGTGTGTCACTGCCTCTGTGGATCTGATTGGTTAACTCCCCAAAGAGTGCTAGACAACATTTTAATGTTTCTGCTGTGGCTCTCACACATAAGTGTTGTATAATTTGGAGCCGTGCTAGCGGTGTGGCTCTACAGATAGCAATGTCAGCTGGCTGACCTGACCGGTCCAGAATGAAATATCTCCACAACTGTTGGCTGGATGGCCATGAAATTTGGTACAGACTTTGTTGGTCCCTTAACTTTATATCTAGCCAATCATCAGGTCAGAATTTCCATTTGTTGAATATTTCGGTTTATGACTAAACCTGCTAAACTAATAACATTCGCATCAACCTCAGCTGCACTGTGTTTAGTGTTAATTAGCAAATGTTAGCATGCCAACACACTAAACTAAGATACTGAGCATGGTAAACATTATACCTGCTTAACATCAGCATTTTAGTGTTGTCATTATGAGCATGTTTAGCATGCCTAGTGCGCAATTCCAGCTCAATAGCACGTTGTCTAAGTACAGCCTCACCGGCCCATTAGCATGGCTGTAAGCTCTTGGTCTTGTTTGCATTGCGCGGTTTTTAGCCAGGCAGTAAACACTGTACACTATTACATGTTTTAATCATGCATAAACATGTGTACATGTTTCAACATAAAAGCTGTTATTATTTTACCACAAATGTCTTAAACCATTCAGATCTCTTTTAAACAGCTAATCAGTGTAAAATTGCTCTGTTGGCTCCTATTAACTTGTACATTCATGAAGTTGAGATCTTGCATATGTTGAAATTATAATCAGTCACTTTTAATTTACCAAATAAAGCCGTCACACACACACACACACAGAGAAGGAGCACATGGAGTACTCATGTGCAGGCCAACTACACCACAGAAATGGAGAACAGCTACAGTTCTGGTTTAAATCAAATTTAACAACAAAACACTCACACAGATATTGGACTCTGTGACAAAATATCACCCAGCAGAGATCAACAGTCTAAGTCCTGTCTAGTTCAGTGACATGAACAAAATTGGGAAGCCTGTCTAATCTAAAGTAAACAGCTTTGTGTTTGCACAAGTGAAGTCCCTTCAGCAAAGAGCGCTATATCTTTCCTCATATTCGCAGGAAGACACGGAAGAATCTGACAGAAGACACGGAGGAAGGGAATAAAAGCGACGAAATGGGGCTCAGCAAGGTCAAAAGTCAAGTACCTGGGGGTCAAACTTCACAGGAAAAATGCTGTTCTGAAGGTAACCATTCAGTGTAAACAGGTGTTTTAAGGTGCTACACACACACACACACACGCCTCGCCCTGAACCAAAGCCATCCCCAGTCACATTTGGCCTGTGCACCTGGGAATCGTCCCTCCCCCTGGTAAATTACGCAACTTTCCGTCCCAGAGTCCTTCCCCTAGACATGTGTTATGGGTGTGTGTGTGTGAGTGTGTAGCTGCTGCTGCAGATACTCATGAAAAGGGGTTATACGTACAGGTCAGGATGGCCTTCCAAGCTAATTAAACCTGATACTCTGATTAAATCATGGCCAATATTACCACGTTATGAAGAGAAGAGCCGGAGCATTCTTCACATTCTCCTCCACTGAAGTCTGGAGCTCAGTTCGGGAACATTTGGGCAATGTTCTGCTCCAGAGACGCAAGCCAGATTACAAAAAACAATTTTTGTGTGTGTGTGTGTCAGTGTGTGTTTGTGTGTGTGTGTTTGTGTGTGTGTGTGTATATCTGCAAGACATTTTCTACACTTTCCTTTCACTGTCTGCCCACTCCTCAGAACTTGCCAAAATAAGCGATTAGCTGTGCTTTCTCAGCAACCACACCCAGGCAGACAGTTATGTACACACACATTAACTAGTGTTGTCCCCTGTCATCCACTTTAGCTTCACCCACCAGCCCACCAGAGAATGACCATGGTAAACACAATCAGCAGCTGATGAGTGTAAACCCTGTGGATGGTTAACCCACTCATACACACACAGTCATTCTCGTCTCACTTGTCTTCCTTCCTTCCCTCCATGCACACACATCCATACATCCAATCATCGTCTGTGCATCTGTGTGTGTGTGTGTCAGTATCTGTGAGAGGACTTTTGCCAGACGGTAGCTTCGTGTCACGATAGGAGACGTCTGTTTGATGACATCCGCCACAGCAATCACTGTTGATTGGCTGCTTTCACCCCATCAGACTCTGGTCCTGCAGGCGAATTTCGTAGTGATTACTGGATCCTTTCCTTTCTCTCCTCATCCAGCTGGCTCGATGAATCCTTAGCTTCATGTTCTGTTCAATTGATTTATAGCAGTATAGCAAACTGTGCAGATAAACTAATCTTAGAGAACTTAGAGAAATACTTTGACATTTTGGGAAATATGCTTATTTGCTTCCCTACCGGCAGTTGAAGATGAGAAGATTGATACCACTCATGTCTGTGTTGTAAATATGAAGGTGCAGCTGGTAGCCGCTTAGCTTAGCACAAAGACTAAAAACATTGGAAAACAGCTAGTGAGGCTCTGTCCAGAGCTAACGTAGAAAATCTAAAGTTCAGTAATTAACACATTATTTGTTTGTTTAATCCATACAAAAAATTTAAAAATTACCATTTTCTGGCTTTACAGGGCAGACTACAGTATTACTTGGCAAGACACAAAGACTCATCTTCACTGTGATGTTGCTAGGCAAACCAGAGGTGCTGATAAGTGGATTTGTTACCTTCGGACAGAGCCAAGCTAGCTGTTTCCCCCTGTTTCCAGTCTTTATGCTAAGCTAAGGGTATTTCTCAAAATTGTGAGCTACTGCTTTAAAATCATTTTTTGGCTCAGCATGTTCAACCCTGTTGTTGTAAAACAGCAGCTTCACATTGCCCTGACATTTCATGATATTTAAGACTTCTGGGTCATCCGTACAGACATCTAGACAGAGCCATCTCACCCATTTATCTCAACACAACCCACCCTGTAATTACGGGTCGGCTGTATTGTAATGACAGCTATTGTAGTACAATAAAGCATTTTCATTTTAGTGGCTGCTGTCCAGCAAAGGTTACATAGTCTGGCTTTAAGTTTCAAAACCCTCTGCTCTATGCTGCAATGACGAAATTAAATCGAATTTTCATTCGATCAATAAACTTAATTTAATCAGATTTCCACTTACAACTGTCATTTTGCCTTGCTGCTATGGTCTAACTAGTTCTGTGCAGTGCAATTTTATCTTCTATGTATTACGTAAATTCTCAGTAGTTTGTCGTCGGTGGTAGTGTAGGTTTGTGTACATCCAGTAATGGCCAGAAGAAAAGTAGTGGTCAGCACACGCAACTATAAAAGGCTCGATCAATTCTGGAGGAATGTGAGGGCACAGTTCCACTTCCTTTAGTCCCAACGCTGTGGCTGTAGCGCTCCATGGTCTGCCTGAAGTTGTCCAAAAAAACGTGATTGATGGGAAGGGATAATGAAAGAGGGATAATAGAAGGAGGAGAGGAATACTGCTTCTATTTTTGATACATCTGATGGGAAAAACCTGATTTCATTTAAGTGTTTGCATGCATGTCTTTCCTCCTTTTCTTGTTTTGTCTGCTCTAAATCTTTAACTCGATCTCTCCCTCTGTTAAGCTTCTTCATACTCACTCCGTCTCCTTCTCCCAACTGTGACCTCATCCCTTTATATTGTGCGGTGTGGTGCCACACTGTGCATTTGTGGCCTAGATAGAGAAGAGGCTTTTCCTGTAGCTGCCAAGACATGTAGAGTGACCGCTGAGAGGTCAGAAAGGAAGTTAAAAAGTTTTCCATCGATTCATCTTGCTCCTATAGATGTTAGTTGAAGGAAGAATGTCAGAAATGCCTCGATGATGCTGCTCTGTAAACTCTGCTCCATATTTATGAAAATTGTTTTCTGAACCTGAAGCTAAAAAGCCTGTTGGTAATTTTCTTCTTTTATACTCATATTCCTTTTCTAGGAGATGCCTCCTCCACTGAAAATTTACCCACAATCCCCTGGGTGCGGTATCAGAGTTTGACTGGCAGCAAAAGGCTCAGCTCACAACATCTGGCAGAAAAAGTGAGCTTCCTATCTGTCTAGTCAGATGTAAACAAAGTCAGATATATTTGAAGTCATATTGAAATTGTAAATTGAATTTGTCTGTGTAAATATCCATCCATCCATCCA